ATCTGCTGAGGCAGGGAGTCCAATCTGGTTCCCTCAGACATCCAATCTCCTTTGAGATCAATCAACAGGTGTCCTGATCGGCTACGCTTCAGATCGATGGCGAGGCCTGCATCCACAGCTACAAAGACAGCCATACACCGATCGAAATCCAGCACGGCCTCCAACCTCCGAAGCGTCGTGATCCCCAACAGTAGAGGAACACCAGCCACGTCCATCGTGAAAACTCCAAGTTGCACAGCATGAGAACCTACGTTCTGGGGTAGGAGGATGTAGGAAGAGGAATAGGCATGCTCACCGTTACCAAACTTGAATCGCTTGGGTCACCTCCACATGCTCAACGAAACCCTTGACCTGATGCCGAAGTTTCATCAGGGCCTCCAACGCCGGAAGAGAGGCAACAGTCTCCGTCGCCCCAGTCCACAACTGCATACGAGGATCATCAGGTTGGGCCCGGAAGACATCACCATCACCCCGGCAAAAAACGACTTCCTCGATGGCCCAGGCGGTGTCGAGCTGGTCCTCGGGATCCACTTGCACAGAAAACACCTGGGCGTCAACAAAGTGCACATGGCCTCCCTTGCCTCCTTTGCCTGAGCGGGCAGAATTCCGCTTCGGGCAGGACCGGAAGTCGTGAGACTTGTCGCCACAAATGAAACGTCCACTGTAGGAAGGATCTCCCACAGCAGCCCCTAGGAAGCCTCCAGGATCTTCCGAGGCCACAAAAAGGTCGTAGAGGTCGAAGAGCTGGCTCCTTTGGGCTTTCCATACCCTTTTCCTTTTCGCTTTCATTTGCCCTTGAACACCGCTCTTGCTGCCAGGACTATGCGAGTAAAACCCTCTGCTCAAGTTCCGGGCTTTGATGGCCTGTCTGGCCTGAACGAAGCCTCTCGCCTTCTGCTCCGCCACGGCGGACCTCCTTCTGCTCCTCGGGGGAGAGGTCGTTGTAATCGCTGCGGTCCTGCCACCATGCAGACTCGTCCCAACCAGAGTCAGACCACCACGAGGATCCGTCATCAGGCGAGTTCCACTCATCATGATAGCCATGGTACATGGCTGCCGCAGAGTCGGCCTAGACTTAAGGAGGGAGCCGATCTTCAACATACAGCGTGCCACCAGTTTACCAGATCCTCAAGCTCGGAAGCGCCAATCCTCCTCCATCCAGAAGGATCTCCGGCGCGAATCCCGGTCGCGTCGGACGTCCTGTCGTCGCTGGTCGGCATGCACCAACTCGTCCTCCATGGAGCGAAGTGCTTTCTCTACATCGTCAATCCGCAGGCTGTTGTTCGAGGCAGCTTGCACGGAGAGTCGCTCCTGCTGTGTCAGGTTGGCACGCCTGAGCAAAAGCCACCCTAAGACTTCGGGAGGGAGCACTTCAAGTAAGTGCCTCTCCTGCTCCTGCTACATCTGAAGATCTTCCCTCGCCTTGGTAGAGGTATCGGAATCCGATTCCTTCCGGTCGCGACGCCGTCTCCGCCAGGAGGGACTGCCATCTCGGATCACTTCCTCCTCCTCGTCCTCGGGGTCTGGGCAGCATGAGGTTCTTCCTCCATAGTTCTGCTCGCCCTCCGCTGAAGCGATGAAGTAGTAGACGGTCCTGATCTCGAGGGGGAAGATGGTCCTTTCTCGGCCAGCTGAGGTTCCGGGGTAGCTCCTCGGACACGGGACAGCGCCACCTGGAGAAGACGATGCTGCTGACGAAGATTCGAGGCCCACGTCGCCATCGTTTGACCAGGGGCCGGCGCAGCTTCAAGATCAAGTTCTCCAGCCGCACTCCAATGTCCGGCACCGGGAGCCGGCCCAGCTTCTCTCTCAGAAAGGACAGAAGGTAGATCACTCCTTCTCGTCTCACCAGCTTGGAGTGGTCAATGTCCTGCGTGATCGACCACGCACGTCCCGTTAACTGGGACACCATCTCGGGCGCAAGCTAATGCCGCTTTCGCCGTGGCGTTTTCTCGAAGGTCAAACGCGCCCTGCGAGTGTAGTCTTGCCACGTTGAAGGTTCGCCGTCCCAGGCACAACGGAGCCTTTGATCTAACTTAGCTTCTGACGACATAGTGCTGGCGAACACCCGTGAGCTTCCGGCCAAGGGAGAGCTGGGGCTTGTCGCAACCGCAGCTCCGTCCTCACCTCCGGGAGAAAATAGGTGCAGACACCCTCGTCGAATTCAGCCTCCGTGGGGGACCCACCGTAGCGACAGCCCTCGATCGAGCTCTCAAGGATTTGGCAGCTTCGATCGGAATGCAAAAGATCAGATCAGCCAAGTGCGCAGAATGACGAAAGAAGGCTTTTTTGCAGGATCGTCGCGATCACTCTTGGGTCTGCCGTCTCGGCCGCTGCAATCGCCCATGGCGAACTTTCCCTTTGGGCTACTAGATAACCCTGTAGCAAAGAATGCGGCCAAAGGTGCACCTGAGCCGAAACAGCACACAAGTGAGAGCTGCGTCTCGTTTGCACTCCTGGCACATGTGACACGGTTAGCTCTTGAAGGTCAATTCACCTTGTATCGGGCATATCTTTGACAGGTTTAGGACTTTACAAGTAGGATGGGTTTAGGATGTTTAAGAGTTTACGGAGCTTCAAAACTACAGTACTCCGGCCTGAGCGCCTCAACCAAGTCTGTTGCACCGCTGGCCCCCAACCTTGTGCACTATAGCCTAAAGGGAAACTTTGAAGAGGTCAGAGCTCCAGAATCAACAAATCTCATGCTTTCTACTTCTATTCTCAATTCGGCCCGAGTGAGTTCAGACAAGAACACAGAAGGCGTTTAGTGCGGTTCACCGGCTTTGATTAGAAAGCTGAATTGAGAAGCCTCATCTGAAACCGATCAGAGTCCTGACATCATGCTTTGGCATGGCCGACATCTTCACGAATGCAAAACTGCAGTCGTCAAGTAGCATGCTCACTGCTTCGACATGCTAGTAGCTAGACCTGCCATTCCAACTGTCAACAAACCCTGGCAAAGAACCCAAAGCACATATCGCACGAGGCAGATGATGAGGCCGCGACCTCGCTAGTGCGATTGCCTTGACATGGTTCTAGCCACAAGCTCCACAAACAAATTCCCACTGTATCTTGGGAGATGAGACAGCATGGCGAAACCAAATGACGTCAAGAACAACACGGTTTGCCTCAGCCTGGCACATTTTCCGGCAAATAGGGTCCGCGCAATGTTTTGAGCAACACCGCGAGGCCTAGGTCATTGCAAGATAAGCAGATCATAGATCCTCCGAAATGACTACCAGGCAAGTCCACCGGTTGAGAGTAACGAAGAAAGCCAGGTAGGCCGTGCTGTTCGCCATGCTGGCGCCTCTAACCTATGTAGGCTCTGGGCTCGTATGACGATCATCTTGTAGCACTTGGGGGCAATCGGCAATCGGGGAAGCCAAAAATCGACAGAAAGCTGGGGCGCTGGGAAAGTGAGCGCAAATTGGCATGCACTTCATGTGTTTCGGCTAAACAGTCTGACCTGGAAGACTGCTGTCGACACAGCTCGGAAGAGCCTGTCCCGGCTAAGCATGTTGCAGAAGCTCCTTCTGCCTTTCTTTGTTCTTCTTCGGCTTGGCCGCCTCACAGCGTATTCTGCAACTTGCGCCAGCAACTGTTCTGAAATTGAGCCTTCCCCACCTCATGCACGCTCATACTGCACGGCACAGCCGTGATTCTTTGGCTTTGCCGCCTCGCGGGGAACCCTCGCCTTGCCTTGGGCGGCCTGGCCGCGAAGGCGCCATGAAGTTCCATCAAATCCAGCTGAAGCTCCTGGATCTCTCAGACACGGCTTCAGGTGCTTAGGGGCTTCCAACTCGCATTGTTTATCCTGGGGTGACACATCGATGAAGGTGAAAGAACAAGCGATGCCAAAAGGCCAAGTGCAATCGGTGGTGTTTTGGAGTTTGCCGACCTCGGTTTGCCAAGCAGAAGCGTAGAGGCTACTTTCCGGAAAGGTAAGATGAAAGTGAAAGGAGTGCAAAACAAGGCTAGAATAGGGAGAAAGGTAGCCCGGACCTGACCTTGTGTTTATCTTTTGCGGGGGTCGCTTTTATCTGCCTTAGTTTTGCCTTGCTAAATGTTTAGTGGGCTAAAGGCATGTTGTTCGTTTCTGCACTCTGCGTAGCACATCAAAGGCTGTTCGGCTACACGCGGTTCTCTTCGCATTTGTGCAGAGTGCGTTCAAGTTTGGGGGGCAGGAAAAGGTCTTGCAATCGATACAGACAACACCCACCCTAACGTAGACCCCTGATTGCTAAACCTGGATCATCGCGTTCAGGACTTTATGCCCGTTTCGACAGGATGTTGAATTGCATGTCAAAGGCCGGGTTCCCGGCCACTGGAGCCTCCGCTGCTAGCCGCCGCCTGCAGTGAACAAAAAGGATCCGCTTCGGGTTTAGGGCGTCACAGGGCTCTCCTGGCCTGGCACTCGCCAAGGCCCTTTGGCGCCCACCTTCCTGCTGGACGCAGATGCTCTGATAAGGTACTAAGCTGCCCATGCCATGGCACTCATAACCTCGTGAGCTGCCCGGAGCTTCAGCACTGCGATGCAGGGACAAAGGAGAGACTGCGCCACAAGGAAGAGGTCCGCCCTTGCCGTCCTCACCCCTGGCTGTGCTCACGCGGCAGAAGGCCTCGGCCTCTCCAGAGCTCCTGGGATCCGGATTTTTGGCTTCGGTGGCTGGGCCTTCCGACATGTGAAAACAAGTCCACCCGGCGCTGGCACAACAGCTCTCAAATTTCGCTCCTCTCATGATAATGTCCCTGTCTGGCTGGGCAACCCTCTTGCGAAAGCGCAGCTTGAGCTCCAGGCGGCTTCAGCGAAAGCCGACGACCTGTGGGATCCCGCGGTGTGTAGGGCTGAGATCTAAGAGGGTAAGCAAATGATGCTGGACTTGACTGCCTGGATGTGGCGCTATGCCAAAGCCACGTAGCTGGATTTGGCCATTCGCTCCGGAAGTACACTTGCCCGGCTTCAAGACTGGATTCGAAATTTCTCTCAAGCAGTGACAAGCCTATCGGCAAAGCTGGAACGCCAGCACGACCAGCCTGCATAGCACATGCAAACCACAAACGGGCCAAGCCACGGCAACTACATGGCAAACTACATATGGGCACATTTTATAACGATTGCAACTGGTGCCTCAGCTGGAGCCTTGCTAAACTGAGCTTGCACAGAATCTGCCCACAGCCCTGACGAAAGGAAGGCTTGGCAACCGTGAAAGGCCGCACAGGTAGCTGCGTGTGATCCCCTCAACCGGTTGCAAGGACAATACACCACAAACGATTCGAAAGTGCACAACGCGGCGTAGCAGCACAAAAACACAACTCAACAAACAGCCGGCCCAGAGATGACACAACACAGATCACGGCATGACAAAATGCTGCCCACAGACGCAATTACAAAAAACATGTTACGTGACGTGGCACTGCACAAACTACAAGGCAAAAGCTTCAAGAAAATCAGCAGAACATACTCAGGGAATTTTGCAACGAAAATCGCCATGAGACCGGGATTGTCAAACATGAGAACACAATACTTGGCGAACACAAAGAATGTGCTGCTGCAGTAGGGCTCTTATGAACTGACAAGATACATGAACTTGTCCGACAAGGCATGCAATCAGTGCCAGGCCTTGCCAGCACCTTTCGGCGGCGGGGGAGGAGGCGCACCCTGGCGGCACAAGGCACGGCATGAATGGCATGTCTAACTTTGAGTACACCGTTTTTGGCAACAGTTTTTGGTGAATAAGATACAGATTGGGGAAACCACACCGGGCCTCGACGCGGTGGCAAGCAAAGTTTATTAGCTGCAAACTGCAGTGTGGAGTCATGCATTTTGACACAAAACGTCTTCCCAACGGTCGATTGCTGAAACTCAGCCATGAATAGCTCCCAAATGTCCAAGCACGAATCTCCGTTGTGCAACCTACACAACCTATTGTCCAAAAACGCTCTGGCTTGACAGTCTTATTCTGACCCGGTCCCCGATTAATGCTTGCACGGGATACATGCAATTCAACCCACCGGTTCAACAATGTTGTGCGCAAGGCACAGTCCGCACCCTCGCTTCTAAGAAACCTCAACACAAAGCCGTAGCCGCAATTTTTCCGGGCACACGCCACGGAACTTGTGACTGTGACATCTGGCCTTGCCAGACCCCTTGCCCTTGGGCTTTGGGAGATCGTAGAGCCTCTGTAGTCCAGACGGAGCTGCGTGCACCAACACACAATCGGGATGACAGGGGCGTCGGCTTCAAGGAAAATGGATTGCGCCTCTTACTATCATCATCACCGCCACCATCCTTACCATCACCATCGCCGAACGCCGTCAACAACAAGAAGAACGGCAGAATATCATGTTGATATCAACATCCTCACCGCTGTCGCATTCCCATCGATACCATCATCACCACCAACGTCATCAGCGGCATCGCAATACCGTCACCATCACCATCGCCATCATCGCATCAGCATCATCATCATCATCATCCATCTTCTTCTTCTTAGGTCGCAGCTCGTCTGTCCGAGCTAGTTAGCGGGTGGGTGCTGTTACAAGATGCTCTGAGCACCATGACCAGCACGAATTCCCATATAAACACGCACTCTCTTGAGTGTGGTCAACATCCTGTTAAAAGCTCATCGGATTGAAAATTGAACCGATGATGAATAAAGAAAAAAGTAATCAAAAAAAGTTGACCCGCTACTCATCGTGGGTTTCCAACGCAATGGGGAGCCTTCTCGGTGTAACCTTGTTCCTTCCCTTCCCATCGCCGTCAGTTCCTCTGGGAGCCGAAGCAGGATGCATTGCATACGGCCGTCGAGACAATCCATGCTTCAGAATGTCCATGTCGAGAGCCAACTTCCGAATCCAGACTTCGAGAAAAATAGAGCTGACTTGAGAGCCTGCGTTCCTGATCAGAGTACTTCTCGCTCGGTGTATATGCGGTATCTCCATGACTGGAGCTGGCGACCCCATGCTGGGGGCAGGCTACGGCAACACCTGCGAGAGAACTACGGCTAGGGAGATGTGGGGTTCGGCACAGCAACACATACATACATGGAAGTTGATGTGATGTCTGCTTCCTCGGGACTGGCAAATTGTGGATCATCCGATGCTGATCATATATTCCTGGCTACCCATCACCAGCGCGGTGTAATGACCTGACTGGATGCTCATCTCATGATGCCTGATAATCAAATGGGCAAAACAAGAGTGCCACTCCACCTCAGTCGAGGTTGCATCCTGAAAACATGGCACATAAAGAAGTCCTGGCATCAATCATGGCTGGTGCGTCTTGACCGGCATGCCCTTAAAATTCTGATCCTTGAATCTTGGGAGTGGTACACACAACCATGACGGCCAGGCTGCCAGAGCTCACTTTGCATCCTGCATGTGCCAGCGCTTGATCACTCCTTCTTCGGTGCAGCCCGACACGCCCAGCGAACTTCTGCAAATGTTGGCGAAAATGGTGCTGCGACAGGAGGACATGCTCAACGAACTCCACATGGACAAGTCGCTGACACGCCGGTCACGACCCTCGTGTTGGCGTGCCTCACGAAACAGCTCAGGGAGAGGGTCACCAACATGATGGAGGAGCAGGAGGGCCTCGCAAGCTCAATGCAGCCGGATGGGTCTATGCAGATCACAGCTGGACTCGGCAGAAATGGAGCCACTGGGCCAAAAAGCTGGTACAGCATCCGGAGGCGGGAGTCATGACCCGGGCGCAGCTCTTCACGAAAGTCGACTTCCTGCTCGTCCACTTAACCGGAGATGTTGTCCAGAAATTTCATTCTACAGCGAGGCTTCAAACCTGGGAGGAGGAGAATGCCACCACGGCCACCTTCTTCTTATCGGTGAGCCTGCGAGGAGCAAAACACGAAGTCCACGAGAAGTTCGTGCAACTCATCGGGCTCTCAGATCTCCAACTGGTGGGGATGTCCATGAAGACGGCAATGCTCAAGCGCAACAGGTGACGAGCCTGGCCTATCGGCGTTAAAGGTGGATGAGAGTCACGGTGCTGCCTCAAACCGGTTCCACCACATTCAGCCTCTGCAACGACGGGAATGCGTGTTACATCAAGTCCTTGCTTTATATGTTGTGGCTTGCTGCCGACTTCACACAGGTCAAGGCCCCCTAGCATCCCACCATAGCCCGGCTGACAGGTGCGGGGTTGCGAGCCCTCATGATGGGCTGGCCGAGAGCGTGGCAAAAGCATCATGCGGCCGAGTTCTTGGATCTTTCTAATTCCTAAGGTGGTCCAAGCCGATGAGGAAATTTGGCAGAGGAGACTTGTTCTCGAGGACCAGTCAGTTTAGTATCCCTCAAGCCGTGCCCCTAAATAAGTGCATCGCTCTCCCACTCCCCACCGTGCACACCCCAGACCAGGAGCTCACCTGTGGCGCGCCTGCGGCTCCTGTCGTTGTTGATTGTTCGGTTTGTCCTCCTTGTTGGGCGGAAACTTCGCCTGTTGGGCCACCACTCAGTGACGGAAGATGTCCACCGCTGGGTTGCTGAGTCGGTCTCCACTGTCAACTTCGTTTGGACGGGTCCTGCTGGCGCCGAGGGCTGAGTTTGCTTTTCACAGCGAGCTGCAGCCAAGCATAATTGGTACAAGACAGGGCATTGTGACATGCCGGCCTGGAACCCAGATCTTGTAGCCACACCTCTGGTGCAAGCTATTTGAAACAAGGTGGCTCGTAAATGGGAGCCATCTGGTAATGACCAGCTCATGCAGGTCATCAACGACTTGTGTGCGCAGACGGCGGAGGTGCTTCTTAATATGCTTGATGTCTGCAATCGACATCTGACACAAAGCACAGTGCTGAGTGAGATCGCGACGTAAGGCGGCACGTGCCGCCCAATGACTTCCAAGCAGTTTGAAAGACCGGGCGGAGCACAAGCGGAGTGTTTTGTGGCATAGCTTCGGCCGCCGTAGGAGGGGCCGTCTGTTCAGCCGGTGCCGGCTTCATCTCCACCTCAGCATGTGGTTGTTGCGTGAAGCTTGAACCACACCTAGCCGATCGCATGCCCCCACAGTCGCCAGCGCAGGACGCTGCAATGGATCGAAGGTAGTGGCCTCGCCAATATATTGCATTTGGATGATGCAAGCCAGAGTGGATGTGGAGCGCATGCCTGGTGGGAGCAATGTGCTCACACTGTTGACAAGGCCACGACTCGTCCTCATTTGGAACACGGTGGCTGTGTGGGCTCCTGGTTTGCAGCAAGCGCTGAAGCTGCTGCTCGTCTGCAGACATGAGTCAGCACGTCGGGCTGGGTCGCAACATCCGGGGCAGTAGCGCTCTGGCTTCCAGCTTGGCACCACAATGCGCCAAGGCCATGTCTGCCCGTGAAGACTTCGCTGTATTGCTGGCCACTCTGAATGAAGGCGATGAAGAAGGATGGCTTCACGATGGTTGTGCTACGAGACCGCCGAGCCAAGGTATTCATGCCAAGGTATTCATGCTCCTTCTTGACGGGTATAAGGCACTTGAGAGCGCGTTGCTACCACGACAGAAACAAAGACTCCGCACCATAACAAGAAATATTGGCACCACGACAGAAAAACAACTTCACCATGACAGCGTATTGAAATTCTCACCACGACAAGGCATCAAAACCTCACCACGACAAGGCATGAAAACCTCACCACGACAAGACATCAGCAGCAGAAGCAGCAACAAAGCTGGACATATCATCAGCATCAGCACATGTCAGCACCACGACAAGGCATGAAAACCTGACCACGATGAGGCATGAAAGCCTCACCACGTTCAGGCAGCGGCAGCAGCAGCACCAGCACATACCAGCATCAGCACATGACAAAATAGTGATTCCCCCGCGTGTGCCCCCGCCCCCTCGCCACACGCGGGAGAATCACCATGTTGGGGGATTTATTGGCCAAAATGCTGATTCCCGCCCGTGACACCCCCTGCCTCTCACCGACGCGGGCGAATCACCATTTTGGAGGATTTATATAGCCTCTGAAAAAGGCAAAATACTGAGTGATTCCAGCGCGCACCCCCCCCCCCCCCCCCCCCTCCACCGCCACACGCGGGGAAATCACCATTTTGGAGGATTTAAGCTTTGAAACCTCTAAAATGGTGATTCCCACGCGTCCCCACTCCCCTCCCCTGCGACACGCAGGGAATCACCACCTTGGAGGATGTAGGCTCTAAAAAAGCAGATGGTGATTCCCGTGCGTCCCACCCTGTCCCCGCGCGTCGCGCGGGAATCACGATTTTGGAGGGTTATATAGTATATAAAGGCTCTGAAAGTTGCAAACGGGTGATTCCCGCGCGTGGCACCACCCCCCTCCTCGCCACCGCCACACGCAGGGGATTTTGGATGATTTAGGCTCTGGAAATGGCAAAATCACGGTGATTCCCGCACGTTCCCATTTTGCCATTTTCAATGCCATTTTCAGAGCCTAAATTTGCCTAAATCCTCCAAAACGGTGATTCCCCCGCGAATGGCAGGGGAGAAGGGCGGGGACGCGTGGAAATCACCTTTGGTGATTCCCCTGCGTGTTGCGGGGGGGAGAGGGAAATCACCATTTTGCCATTTTCGAATCCTAAATCCTCCGGAATTGTGATTCCCCGACATGTGGCGGTGGAGAGGGGCGGGGACGCACGGGAATCACCATTTTGCCATTTCCAGAGCCTAAATCCTCCAAAGGCACGCGTGGGAGTCACCATTCTGCCATTTTCAAGAGCCCAAATCCTCCAAAATGGTGATTCCCCCGCGTGTCGCGGGAGAGAGGGGCGGGGACGCACGGGAATCACCATTTTGCCAGTTTCAAAGCCCAAATCCTCCAAAATGGTGATTCCCCCGCAGGGGGTGGTGGACGAATCACCATTTTGCCATTTTCAGAGCCTAAAATCTCGAAAATTGTGATTCCTCCCGCGTGTCGCAGGGGAGAAGGGCATGGGAATCACCATTTTGCCATTTTCAGAGACCAAATCCTCCAAAATGGTGATTCCCCGTGTTGCGGGGGAGAGGGATGGGGACGCACGGGAATCACCATTTTGCCATTTTCAGAGCCCAAATCCTCCAAAATGGTGATTCCCCGTGTCGCGGGGGAGAGGGGTGGGGACACACGGGAATCACCATTCTGCCATTTTCAGAGCCCAAATCCTCCAAAATGGTGGTTCCCCGTGTCGCGGGGGAGAGGGGTGGGGACACACGGGAATCACCATTTTGCCATTTTCAGAGCCCAATTTTTTGCCCCACTTGCGGGGGCGGGGCGGAGGAGGGGGCAAGCTTCGTCAATCTTGGTCTGAAGAGGTAAACTCGTCGGCGAGCAGGTGGGGCAACATGATCAAGATTGCAAGATTGCTGGCAATCTTGCTTTTGGACCAAGATTGACCAAGATTGCAAGATGACCAAGATTGTCAAGACGGTTCCAAAAACTAATTGTTAACAACATTCCCGGCACAATGTACCAGTACTCTTGAGTGCCGTTCGGATCTTCCACCAGACCACATCGACGCGCGAGGCCCAGGCTGGCGCCGGCCGGGGGCGGCCGAGGGAGGGCCAGGTGGTGGCCGTGCCTCTCAGGGGCTTTGGCCTTAGGGGGTTTCAGGATCAATGCTGGAGCTGGGCAACGCGGAAGGGCAACCCTTGCTGGCAGGACTCTGACCTTGCGAACATCTGATTCAACGGTAACAGCCTCGCACCAACATGGCGTCTGAAGTTCTGAAGGACTTTCCTAGACAAGGATATCGGCTGCCACTGTTTCAATTCTAGGAAGCGCAGTGTGCCCTGAAGAAGCTTGGACCAAGGACCACATGCCAGACCGCCATCACCGCTCTCACGAAGCACCATGCGTTGCCGAGCATGCCTGCATTTGTGTGAATGTGTCTGCCTCGACAAGCAGGACGGCCATAGACGTCACAGCCCCAGCAACAGAGTATGAACCCCTACACATACACAGTTGGACAACATTAAGCAGAAAAACAGCATACCGGAAGACAACAGCCACCCCAAAAACCAACGCTAACACAGGTTGAGAAGACATAAGCAGCAAGCCCCAAGAAAACATCGAACGAAAAGCCCGTCAAATGCTGGATTGATTCGACCTCTCCGAGTGCCTTCCCAAGTTGTGATGCGGGAGCAACGAAAGCTCATGTGGCCCAAGGGTGCAACTGCAGGTGCTGCGACATGACAGGCAGGAGAGCTCACATGAGCTGACATGCCTCTGAAATAAGACTCAACATGGTGATCGCATAAAGCCCAGTCCGCACAACCCGATCGGTTCACATCGAGGCTGCCAGCTTTCGCGAAGATTTCGAAGCTTTGAAAGGAACGTTGCAACGGATCTTTGCCTGTTCACTCGTTGCATGTCCTGTATAAGAATGCTGTTGTTCGTCCACACAGCCAGAAACACTGAGTTCACCTAGCACGGCCTGAAATTCTGAAGCATTCCCTGCACCACCCTAGAGCTCTTGCACTCTTTGCTCTGCGCGGGCATACACGCGGGTTCCTCTGTTCGCTCTGGCTGTTCGCATTATGGAATTCCCAAACTTTCAGCAGCGCAAGTCATGATGGCAGTTTAAGACAGGCTTCACGGAGCCATTAGTGTGGATGGTCACCTTCATCGGAATGCAAATCTTTAGCGCTGTGTTCTCGCGTCTTGGCGCTCAGGACTCCAAACAAGATTACTTTCGCCTTGAACTTCTGGCTCGACGAAGTTGCTTCATGGAGCCTGAGTTGTGCATTCGGGCGCTTAGCTTGGGCTGAAGAACAGAACGATCTCAACAATACAGATCTCCTGACCCGGCCCTATTCCATTGCGAACCATACACGCCTTCATTAGCTCCTCCTCACCGACTGAGGTCCCCGCCCATGAGAGGTGGAGTCAACTGATGGCGTTCGGGAGCTCCCTGCAAGATTTTCGGGGTTTTGGGAATCTTGTGCAGGGGCTGTTTGACGGGGCTGTTTGACCGTGTCCGCCCTGCTGCTTCGGTGAACCGACTAACTCGTCCGCAACAGACCCTACACTACACCCTTGCATGATGTCTGAATGTTGACATGTTGACCACAGTTCAGCCATACTCCTTTGCACTAAGGGGACACCTGGCCTGGCCTGAGTCGGACCGCTGCCACAGGTACCTTCGGCTCCTTCGCAATGCATCAAAAAACGCCCCCTCACCGTAGCCCTCAACCATGCTTGAAGAGTCTCCGTCTAGAGGCATTCCTACGATTGAAGCGCCAATGACCCAGGCTACTCGATCCTACTTTAAAGCTGCTTGGTGGGCTTGCTGTCCCGCTGCTGGAGGTGCTGAGCTCCGAATCGCTCGACTCGTCCAGATCCTCGAGCATGCGCCTCGCTGGCAAGTCTCATTCGCTAGCCGCTAGCTGCCGCTAGCTGCCTTCCCGCAAAGACACAAGTCCTGACATGTTACAGCCAGCAAGATATCTGCATTCTTCCGGAGGCGCCCGGAAAAGACTGTCATGAGGCTCGCACGATTTCAAGTCTTTAAGACTTGGCCAATCGTGCCATCAACGTACTCAGGACAGTGGCGACAAGCCGAGAGAAGTTGAAGCTAGTTCATTTGCAGATGTCGGAGAGCACTCTCAACTGATCTTGATCGAGCCGTCTGTATTGTTTCCGTTGGGACTGCTCTTTGGAATCCTGTCTCTCTAGAAGCAGCTGAGGCCAGGCTCAGGAAAGCGGTGTACTCAGCGTGGGCACTCCCCCTCCACGTCGCATAGGTCGGTCGAGCAAGCCCCCGAAAGGACCGCTTCGAACGGCCCAGCAAGCCCAGTGGCGACTGATGACCATGTGATACCTGCAACGGTTCCAGTGTCAGAGCATATTGGCTGGCGTACCAGCAGGTCAAGACCACGCACTTCCCCACCGCGCACCTGTGAGAACAGTTGGGACTGAGCTGCTCAGCCTCTTTCGCGGTCGCAGGCAGATCCGAAAGTCCGCATTCACTGATGTACCACTGCAGCTCTCGCTCGGCAGGGGGACGGCCAAAAGCAGCGTGACTGAAGACCGCAGTCTTCGGTGCAGCTCAATCTGCCACGACACGTCCCTTGGAATGGACGGTCTTTCCAAGGAGTACTGGCATCATGCAGAAGGCCGCTGATCTCTTCCAATCCGTTCAAGCGTTCAAGCGAACGGATCACTCAAATTAAATTCGCAGTGGCGATTCCGTGCAGTTGGGGCGACGATCGGTAAGGCGTGCGCGAACTGAAGCTGCAGATAGCGGCTTGTAACAAATCGTTCCTGAGGGATTTGCTTTGACCTGTGTCAGCCATCGTTTCGTGTCTGGACATTTCTCAGCAGGGGCTGTGTGATAGACTTGCGATGTCACATTGAACAGTATCCATCTCTGCCTTGTCGTTTGCCAGTTCCTGCGGTGATGACCAAAGATCCACGTTCAGTGAGCTGCCAGTTCGCATAGAGAAGCAGCGAGGCACACAGGGTCAAGCTGGACAGAATTATAACGGAACGAAGAAGAAACGCTTTCCTCCCAATGGGCACCGCATCGTGCTAACCATGGGCAATGGCAACTGCTCTGCACCATTGCATTCAGGCAAGGACCACCTCCTTCAGAATCACGGAATTGAGATGGGGCAGCTGACAGGACTGCACGGAAGTTATATTGATCTTCGACCCACTCGTCAATTGAATTGAAACAGTTCCACGCTCCAAACTCTCAGCATGAATCAGCGGTTGCTTTCGCAGCCTGCACTGAAACAACTGTCTGTGCCTGTGTGATGGACCTATTTTCTCAAACACTGCTGCCATTCGACTGGAAAAATCGACCCCGGTTGTTGAACATGGCTTCAAAGCAGGCAGCATAGCGAAAACTGTTGTCCAATCGCTCCTTTTGTCTGGCGGGACCTCCGCATGGTTTGGCACATGCCTCCTTGACATTGCACCATTGGCAGTGGCCCGGCCATCAGCTGCAGTATTCCTGTCAGGTGCTCGTCATTGGTGTGGCCAGCGGCCCAACCTGAAGGAAGCTCGGGTGAGATCCCAGGGCATGAGAATCGGCAAGCCCAGGATGAGGCATCCTGTCGGTGCAGGGAGCATCGGCGTCAAGGTATGTAAAGAGTTGCCTCGCAAATCCTCGCAACTCACATGGTTGCATGCATGGGCTACTCTTCACCAGGTGTCACGACTTGCCTCACTGCGTAAACTTATGCATGCTGGGGTCAGCTGCAGCAAACATGCTGAGCGTTGGTACACTCCTTGCCAAGAATGTCGTGTCTTCTGCCAGACGCCGAGAAAACAAACTGAGCGATTCTGAGCTAGAAATCTTGGTAAACACATTGCAGTCTTTCATCACAGTTTCAAGACTGGCAAAGTAATCAGAACCGGGCCGGCCGAAACTCGCTTGAAAAATGCGGCGCGACACAAGATGGACATCGCATTTGTCACTGATAGTCGCTTCTGAGCCACGCGCGAGTCAAGCTTACGGTCAAATTTCTTGGTGCTCCCTGAGTTAACCTTGTGCTAGATTGAAGAACGTTCCTGCTTGGACCTCCTCGAAACCTGCAATGCCCGTGATACTCTTCCTGCATGGTGTTAGGTAAAATGCTCAAGCGAATCAGATAAACGTGATCTTACCAGAAACACACGGTGAATTGATCACTGGCTTCGAACATGTCCGAGAGTGTTGAAGAAGAAGCGCACTCCGATCACTCCTTCTCGCAAGTACACTTCAGCCATTTGCATCGAACTATCCTTGAGATGCCTGGGGCAATGAAAGTGTTATCGAGCCTGTGATCCAATCCAAAGCACTCTGCGTGTTACCAAGGATGCATTGTGAACTTCCACAACGTCGATCACTCCTTAAGCTTACACGACGACAGCTGCCTCGGCTGAGAAGCACACATGCTTCGCCTCTTCTGCTCTTGCCACCCCCACCTTCCCCAGCCTTCTGCCAAGAACACGATATAGCGGGTTAGCGCCTGCCGACGCCAGAAAGCGGCTCTGAGGCGTTGCGCCGCAGGGCCGGCGCCGCTGGCGACTCCTCTTTATTGCTCTTTTTGTTGCCACTTGCTTGCCGAATATCGAAGAGATCCTATGTATGAGCATGCGAGTCAGAAGTGGAAGTGTGCCGTCAAACACCTTTTGCGCACTAGTTGGTGAGGCCAAATCTATGGAAGGGACATGTGAGAGCATCACTCCAGATGATTCGGCTTGTGATCTTGGCTGTGTGATCAATCACACAAGTACCCACTTCGGGAAATTGTCGGAAAATGTTTAGCAGCATGCCATTAATTGGCAAGTTTGCTGCATGGGACAAGAAGGGTTTGCACTACCGCTTGACAGGCAAGCCTAATACCGTCTTATCTCGCACTTACGCTTTACGCAACGACATAGGTTCATGAAGCGTTCACGGTTGTTTTCCGATGATATGGCACGTTGCTTCTTCCTGCGCACGACAGAATGGACGAACCCATCTCCTGCGCAGCAGGCCTCCAGGGCCACACCGACAACAGCCGCATGGCGACTGGAGCTCCAAAGAACTTAAAGCCCCCCCAAAGCTGCTGAATGTTATTGCCGCCAGGGTCTCGCCTTGCCGGCCCGATGGTACTGAACTCTGCTTGATCACGGAACACACCAGTGTTAAACCCAAATGGTCTCAACATGTCTCAGAACTCAACAAACTCAGGTCTCTGTCCGACACTGGAACCGAAATCAACCTTGGCACAGGCATCAAAAGATGATAAGCATCTAAAAAATGATAAGCATCTAAAAAATTTGATAAACACCTTAAAAATTCCTAAACCCTCCATGCATTTTTCTTGATGCCTATCAAATTTTGTTTGATGGCTACCGTCTAAACCCTAAACCCTCTTATCAAATTTTTAGATGCTTATCAA